GGTATTTAATATGTAGTGGTGAGCAAATAGCTGAAGTCTTTGCTCTTAAGATTTTTGTATTGTAGTATATATGTAGGAGGTTCGTGGAATATAGAAAGGGAACTTTCTATATCTGATTAATAATATTTCAAGGTAAGAAAATATAATTAGATGAGAATGTTGACTCTGGAGCCTAGTCTGACTGAAATTTTACCTCTGTCAAATATATTGAGCAGATTATGTAACCTTGCTATATGAGGCAGCTATTGTACAGCTGAGACACAATAGCTGAGGTCCAAAAGTTAAAGAAGGAGTGGTTTAATTTGGTTTATAGTATTGAGGAACTCAATCCATGTTCAGTTGGCTCAAAGATAGGAACATCATGGTGGAAAAGCATGGTGGAGGAATGCTGCTTATTTCATGGCAGCTGAGAAGCAGGGGAGCAGTGTCTGAGAGGAACTACCCAGACACTCCCAGGAGCCAGGAGTGTGCTTTATTAATCTTCTCAGTGTTGTTTTGCCTAATGAATTTGACATATCAGGATTAATGGTTATAATTCAGGAAACTGAAATTAAGAGTGGTGGACTAATTACTCTGGCAGAGGAAATTTGGTAACACAATATTCAGGATGTGGCATAGGTATTCCTGACCTCTTTGAGCCAGATCTTTAGTGAGAATGGGGGGAAAAGACAAAGCAGAAAATTTGCAAAACTTGAATTGTGGCCTAGAAGGAATTCTTTGTGAAGTTGGGGCCAACCAAAGTGTGGTTGCTAAAGAGATTAGGGGTATTAAAAAGAAAACAAGTACTTTGTGCAGGGACAAAAATGATACCTTGAGGGCATCTCAGACATAAGCAAGATTCAACCAACTGCACACTTGAGTGTGCAAAACTGTCCAATTTTCATTAGAGAAGGGTCCTTTGGACCCCTAATAAAAAGAGGGCCTGTAGGCAATTGGTTGCCCAGAATTAATTTCACCATGTTTAACCATCCAGACACTTCAGCCAGGGTCCTAGGAGGCCTGGATACTGCTTCCACTGACAGCATATCTTGGTGTCATCCCTGTGAGGCTAGTTATACTGGTATGCAGAATGCATAAGTTATGAGATCAAGGAGGCTTCTACCCAGATTTCAAAAGGCCTGGAAAGCCAGGCAAGGAGCCCCTAAAAGGCCATTGCAAGAAGCTGCAGGTATGAAGCCAAAGGTACAGTGCGACTGTAAGAATCTGGAGATGCCAGGAATGTCCAGTGTTAGCTAAGGAAAGCAGCAAGCTGTGAATGAAGCCAGCCCAAGAGAGAGGCCACATGGGCTGCAACTGAAATAGCCATAGAGGTGGAGATGTCCAAGCCCTTTAAAACTCCTGTGTTCCCACCTAGTGCTCTGGACTGAATATTTCCCCTGCTGGGCTTTGATCTTGCTTTGGTCCAATTCTTTTCCATCCTATTAGTCCTCTATTTTGGAATGTGAATGTTTACCCCATGCCATTGTACTTTGGGATTATGTAACATTTCCTTTATTTTTAAAGAGGTTCACAGCTATGAGTTTCCCTTGAGTCTCAGAAGAATGCTATACTTTTGAAAAATGTTTGCTTTGGGGAATGGATTATTGACCTTCTGATTGTACTTGAAAGATGTCAGGCAGAATTATGAATTTGCTTTTTTTTAAGATTAAGTATGATTTAAGAAGATATTCTTGCATGTGAAGTTGTGATCATTAATTGTGATATATTAACTTCACTGCATATAAAAATGCCTAGAATGCTAGTAGAAAGCATGCCTTTAGGTGTGTCAGGGTCATAGAAGCATGGTCTAGGTTCTTTGTCTTGTCACTAGCCCCCTCTGCTGTGACACTGTCTCCCCCTCTGCTTCCTGGCCGCCATGACCTAAGCAGCTTTGCTCCTGTACTTCCTTCCCCCATGATGTCTCTTCCTTGGAGCTAGCCAATCATGTACTAAAACTGTGAGCAAATGAAACCTGTCCTCCTTTAAGTTCTGATTTTTGGTTATTGTTTAATAGCAACCAGAAAGCTTACCACTATACAAAAGCTGACCACTATACTTGTGTTGAAAATTTTTCACTCATGTATTTAAATGATTGCTTTTATTTAAATTACTTCAAAATATGCCAGAATACAACAAGAGCTAAAAATATTAGCTCTTTATTAACATTTCTCACAACCAAGTGCAATCATCATACTTATAATTTAAACATTAAGTGCATTCTTTTAAATGTCAATGATAAAAGGTTGCTGGCCTTCACTGCTTCTATTTGAAATAATATAGAAGTTCCTATCCAGAGCATTTAATAAGTTAAAACAAAGAGAAGTTTATACAGATTAAATAGAAACAGAAATATCTCTGCATAAACAATTCAAGAAATGTTTCAAAAAATCATCATCTTAAAGAAAGTGCTAATTAACTTTGTAAGATACTGAGGAATTTCAAAAGTTAACTGTGGCCTTACTCTTCACAATAACCAGGAAATCTGAAAATAAAGGCTTCACTTAATAATAATTAAAATAGAAGACATTTAAGATTAAAATGAGGAATCTTTTACAAAGGAAATTATAAATTACCATTAAAAGACATTAAGGGAAGTATGAGTAAACTGAGAGCCGTGCTGTATTAACAGATAGGAAGATCAAATGTCACATATCAATTTACCCACAAATCAATACAGTCCCAGTCAAATTCGGCAAGTAGAACAAGCTTAATTGTAAAATCTAAATGAAATTTTAAAATATTTATGGACATCCAAGACAAATTTGAAGAATATGATGTGTACTCAATTTCCTTAGATCCATGGCTTATCTTAAAGGTACAGTAATAATATTCATAAAGGTCTTGGCCTGGAGATAGGAAAATAGGCAGTGGAACTGAATAGAAAACTCAGAAATAGAGGAATTGAAGGGTTTCATCCCCTTTGACCTACTAATCCCATTCTTATTTAATGTCTTAAAAGAAAAGAAGACATGTAAAAAAATGCCCATCATGTCTCATTTGTAGTATTAAATATGTAGAACAACTTACATGTCTGTCAGTAGAAAAACTTTTAAGTTAACTAATACAATCATATGATAGAACATCATAAAAAGTTAATAATTTAAAGCTACCTATGTCTAATATTTATAAATTTCAAGAACAATGTAAGCAATTTTCAGAAGAATATATACTGTACATGTTAACACATAAAATTGTATTAATAGTACAAAGAATGTACACACAATCGAATACATTATGAATTTTCTATACAGCCAAGAAGCTGCCTCCTGGCTATGGTCAGCGGAGCACATCCCAGGTTGAGAGAACAGTGTGGTGCTCAAGCTCAGTGCTCCGTAAAACCACTGGCTACCTAACAGTCCCGATTTCTAAGTGCTCTGCAGCATCTTCTGGGTCAGAGACTCTAACACTTGTAGGCAATCTCAATAAGCATCTGGCACCTGAGTCCTCGTATCTCTGCCAACCAGTCTGTGTGTTCTCCCACTGACAAGCCCATTTTCTTACTATGCCTATGAGATGAGAGATTCAAAGAGGGCTCAAGGTCTGTACTGCAATAAAATCTACACTACATCCATGGCCAGCAGATATCCTGGCCCTGGCATACACTTCAAAGTCATGATGAAGGTTTTGGAGAACTCCATGTGTCTGGCTCTTGCTGACTTGTGAGTTTTCTTTTTCCTTGTAAAACCTTCCTTAACTAAGGCCATATGTTATTGTTGAACTTATCCTGACCTATTATGACAGCCCTAAAGAGAAAAACCCCTGCTCCCGTGGCAAATGTAAGAAGAGCTCAATTGTACATATAGCAAATGTGCACAATATTAGGGATTTTCAAATAGGGTGGTGGATACTTTGAAAGTCTTTTTTAATCCCACATAAGTTTTATTATTAAAAACAAAAGTAACAAATCTGAAAATATGTATTTTTATAACTCAGTTGGTAACCTGAAGTAAATTCTCAGTATATATGGGCTCAATTATCAAAAAAGTAAATTTGAAATTACAAAACTAAGATCTAAATCTGTTCCTATAAGCACTGATTATAAAATTTTACAATCGTATTTGTGAAATCTAAAGAAGTTCATCCTTTAGCGGTTGAGAGTAGAGTGGTGGTCACCAGAGGCTGGAAAGAGTAGTGGATGAGAAAAACAGAGGGACTGATCAATGTGTACTAAATGAGAGTTAGGGTTAAGAAGGTCTGGTGTGTTGCTGCATTGTAGGTGACAATAGATAATGATGTGGTACTATTAAAAAAAACTAAAGAAAAAGATTTTGAACATTTTCAACATAAGGAAATGATAAACATTTGAGTAGATAAATATAATTATCATTAATTATTACACAATATATACTTATACCAAAACCTTACATGGTACTCCACAAATATGTATGAGTCTTAAATTTTTATGTGATAGTTTTAAAATTTTTATATAAGTTTAAAACATCAAAATCTCTGAACTTGTGACAGCACAATTAAAAATATTCATAGGTCTTCTAATAATATAATTTATTTAAATACTTGCAGAAACATTCAGAAACACAATGTTCACTGTGTCTTGCTCACCCTATTCTGAATAGTGACACAATTAAATATTTGGAAATATTTTCTGAAATATATCTATCTATACTATACATTTTTCTCCTTGTTGAAAATGGTGCCTGAATAAAGTATTTAAGAGGAACTTCAGTTTCAAAAATGAAATTTTTTGTTTCTTTTTGTTGTGTGGCCTTCGCCAACTACAGCAGTATGCTAATTGCTAATTTGTTTGCCTGATACATTTCCTTTGGTAGTAATTAGGGAAATGCTAATTTCCTCTTCACTGATAGTAAAAGTCTGCAGAGTGAGCTCTTTTATGAAGTGAAATGTACAAACTCTGTATTAAAATGAACATATAAGAAAAATGCCTGTAACACATGCTGACAATGGCCACCACAAAATCATCCTCCTTATAAAATACCCACAGTTTAAATCATGAAACATCCACAGTTTAAATCACGTTGGTGCAGTTGAATGCTTGTGTTTACCTTTGTATTCTAAATGAAATCCGGTGTAACTAACAGATCCATCACTCCGGAAAGCCAGATGCATGGTATTTGAGCTGCTTTCTATTCTCTCTGGTAACTTGCTGTCTTGAAAACTTCCAATGAGCTGACTATTACTGTCTGGTCCATCATATATATAGAGGAAGTCATAGTTTGGTTCTATGCTGAAACTAAATTAAAAGATAGGAGACAGGGAAAAAGTAATATGATTATTATTATTATTATTATTATTATTACTAGGGTATTAACCACAATAGTCATATAATTATGTATCTAGTGCTTAAAAGGAACAACAGA